TTCGGTGTAGCAACTTACAAAATATCGCTATACTACGACGTATCTTTGGGTGCACTTTGTCACGCTCTAATTTGATCTTGCTCATCACAATATTTCATACTATCTGGTATTGAACCATTTACCTTGTTAACAGCAGCGTGTGGGTCGACTTCACTGGAGTTAAGTGCGTTACCATTCAAATTCACTTGTTCATCTTCCACATTGCAAATGCCTTGCGAAGAGGTGTGGTCGGTTTTGTTTTTTTCACTGGTCACTTCCGGTACATTCTTTGAAAGCATAGATGCACTTTCATTAATTGACAATTATTTTTCAACAGTTTTATTCCCGATGTATCCAAAAAGCTTTCCAGAGAGGATACACGTTCATCTATGTTCGTCAAACTCGAGAGGACAGGTTCGAGCATCTGCCGCAATTCATGTGACACTATAGTTTTCATGTTTGTCATAGAACTGAATACAAAACTGATAAAGAATCAACTATATTTAGACTTCATTTTCTACTTGTTTCCTGTATCGATAGATTCATATATGAACTTCAAATCATTTATTTGTTGTCTTTTTTTGTGTTTTTGTTTTGATATTTTTTCCATTGGGATCACATAGACAAATATCGCTCATACAATTACCTTTAATAACATTGTTGAATTTCATATATATTTTTATTCCCCCGAAGGGAGGCATATTAAATTCGCACCGTCTGTCTATCCGTCCGTCTGTTCGTCCGTCTGTCCGTCCCTATTTCATTCGTGTCCGGACTGTAACTTTGTCATACATTGAGGGATTTTGAAATAGCTTGGCACAAATGTCTACTACAACAAGACGATGTGTCGCGTTAAAGAATTACGTCTCTATCTCAAAGGTCAAGGTCAAACTTTCATTTTGAAGTTTCACATTATCACAATTAGAATTAATAGGTCCACACCACAATCGTGTCCGGACTGTAACTTTGTCATACATTGAATGATTTTTAAATAACTAGGCATAAATGTCTACCACATCAAGACGATGTTTCGCGTCCAAATATTACGTCCGTACCTCAAAGGTGAAGGTCACATAAACATTTTGAAGTTTCACATTATCACAATTAGAATTAATAGGTCGTCACAATTGTGTCCGGACTGTAACTTTGTCATGCATTGAAGGATTTTAGAATAACTTGGCATAAATGTCTACAACAAAGAGACAATGTGCCGCGTCTAATAATCTTGTCCCTACCCAAAAGATCACACTTATATTTTGAAGTTTCACTTCATCAATATAAGAGTTGATAGGTACACACATTTGTGTCCGGACTGTAACTTTGTCATGCATGGTAAATTTTAGAATAACTTGGCATAAATGTCAACCACATCAAGACAATGTGTCGCGTCTAATAATCACGTCCCTACCTCAAAGGTCAAGGTCACACTACCATTTTGAATTTCTCTTTATAACAATTAGAGTTTATGGGTACACACATTCGTGTCCGGACTGTAACTTTGTCATGCATCGAAGGATTTTAATACAACTAGGCATAAATGTCTACCCCACCAAGATGACATGTGGCGGATAAAACCCGTGTTTCTACATTCAAGGTCAAGGTCACACTTATAGTTTGAAGGTATTCATTCATTCAAGAAGAGTTTGAAGATACACATTCATGTCCGGACTGTTACTTTGTCATGCATGAACGGATTTTGAAATAATTTGGTAAAAATGTCAACCACATCAAGACAATGTGTCGCGACTAAGGCTCATGTCTGTGCGTCCGTGTGTCCCCACTTACACAACAATCATGTCCAGACTGTAACTTTGTCATGCATTGAGGGATTTTGAAATAACTATTTCATAACAACATTCTGTCGCGTTCAGGAACCAATTCCCTTCTTCAAAGGTCAAATTCACACATATATTTTGAAGGTTTACGCTATCACAATTAGAGATTACAGGTAGAATTATACAAAGATCAATGTTAAGCAATTAGTTACTTTCATTCTCTTTTTTCTTCAAAATACATGCTTAAGAAACCTCTTCGGGGGGCAATCGTCCCTTGAGTGACAGCTCTTGTTTTTATTACAGATTAACACATTATTCTGTGGTATTTTTTCTACCTGAATGATAAATTTACGATTTTAGTATTACATCTTTTTCTAATACAAACAATTAAATCATAAATTTCATAATTGTCTATGTACTTGTATTGGACAATTATTTGGATTTCTTACATTATACTTAATTCACTTTAACATATATATATTTGTGAAAGAATACAAGTAACGACTCTCTGTATATTTTCCAATTGATCTTTTTTTCTATTTACGTTATTTCCTTTCTTTCGGTATTGGATTTTTCTTACTGATTTTTGCACTCTTCCCTGTATTAAATTTAAAAAATCATCAATTTTTATTACATCCTTTACTTTTTATCTTTTCTCTGTAAAATTATTATAAGTGCTATGAAGATTTTTCAAAAGTCTTGTTGTGGTGAGTTCTATTTCTTTGAATCTATTGAATCCTCCAGGAATAGGTTCTTTAGTATTTTTATGTGTCCATGGTTCTTGTGTCGTTTCAAAAACTATTTTGAAACTAATGCTGATTGTTCATTTATATCTTTAACAATCTCTTTTTCTGAGAGCTAATTTTTCTGTTACAAGTTTATTAAGTTCAATACACACTTCCGAACATGTTTCACGAGTGACTTCACGTTTTATCGTCTTTGTTTTATATATTTCTTTATTCATTACTTAACAATCGGAAAGATATGAAAAGACTTACATTTTAAAATATCAAAGAAAATCTTCTTAAAAGGTAAGTAGAAAAAGTAAGAAAATCTGTTATTTTGGAGACTTTGAATGGGTAGATTTTCGTAGATGATTTGTAAAGGGAGATATTTTTTAATGTCGTGGGATTGTGTTTGTGCCCCGGTTTTGGGTTTTGTTTCATTGGCTGAAAACATATACTGCTTATGTTTATAAATAATATACAAAATATTTTATAGTGATAAAATTTCTCTCAATATATGAGTAACAGAATCTTAACGAGCATGTGATCACGGTGCATATCCATATCGGTACCATCTGCGAAATCTACTAAAGCGGTACCCTTTTTACACATACACCGACATACAAGATTCTAGTATATGTTCATTCGACTGATAAAATGTGGTATGTCACTCAGGCTTATATTTTTCCAAAAATTATAAGTCGTGTCAAAATGTGTATTAGCTTAATTAATCGAGATGTAAAAAGATTCCCACAATAGTTATTAAAGACACATAATTTACATGAATTTAATTAAATGTTCTATATAACTGCGAAGAATAAAAATCAGTGAGATACCTCTATGATAATTTTCACCTTGGTAGTTTGTGGAATGTTTGCGTTATGTCGTTCTTCGGCCGAATATCGTCTAAAGTCAGTTTGACTTCCTGTTTAATTAACAGGGAAGAACTTTATTTAAGTGAAATTTTCATTTGTCATTTTAAAGCTACAAACTGAAACTTTATTGGCCAATCTAAAATAAGTCAAAGAATATAAAGGATCTTTCTTAAATGAAATACGCGTCTAATTTTAATTGAAGAAAACAAACTTTCCATATATGTTTCTCAGAAATTTTACATTCCGGTTAAAATCTCATTATAGAATTATAAATTATGTCCAAAATGACAAAACCGCCAAAAACGTTGACGTTCGCGTAAACAAATACGCATGAAAATATCGAAAAACATTAAACCCGGTATTCTCAGTTATTCAGATGTTTATGTCAAATAAGTAAATAAGTGATTGATTCGTTCAATTATATAAAGTTAATGATTTGCATGTATGTTTGAATATTTATATCAGATTTATATAACCGCCAACGAATAAATGGTATTACAGATAACACAGTTGGGTTACCCAGATTTTAAGTGTTTTCCGATATTTTTGTCGGTGTTGCATTTCCAGGAAATTAGTATCGTTACTACGTTCTCATTTTTAAATTCCTATAAGAAATGTTAAAGCTTCAATTCTTGAGTATTTTTAAATATAAACTGGTAAAATGGCATACAGAAATTTCAATATAGACCGACATTCATGATAAAAAATAAGGGTACAAATGAATTGAAGCGAAAATGTTTAGTACGAAATCAGTTTATGTTGTGCGTGGTGGTGTCTTGGATCTTTGCTATTGATTTTAAAGTGAAATTGTATTACTGCACGCACACAAAAACAGACCATTGAGATAAATGCATCCAAGAAAACTGATTTGACTGTTTAAGACTCAGGTCTATTTGTTATTGACGCATAATATTTCAACACCAAAAATTAGATTATGTTGTTTTTTTAGTTCTGGGTCTGAATATCGCAGGGGAGGTACTGTCTATCCATAGAATAACACAATACATCAATTTGTTGTACATATTGTTGGACGAAATTTCCCGAGAGTCCTGCATAACTGTTTCTATTGCAACTTTGAATTTGCACTAGTAATTATTGTCATTGTAAAATCATTAAACGGTTAGTGCACAATTTCTTGAATACAAACATCCAAAATGATTATGGCATATTAAAGCAGATAAACCTCGGCCAAGTTACTTCTTGTTCAAAATAGCTGTACGTAATATTTTAAAGCATATAAATCATATGCTGTTTGGGTTAGTTTTACAAATGCTGAACATTTCATCTGGCATTGTGTGTGCTCAAAAACGATGGCTTTTTATTTCATTTTATGAAGGGGGCTGCGAGTATAGAAGGACGACATATTGCCGTTATGAATAGATAAATGACATCAATTTCCCAGTAGAATTATGAAGAATTGCATATGAAGAGGGAATATAGTGAATTTGCATGACTGTATAGATTTGCAAACGCTTTGTCGTTTTGTTTTAATGCTACGGAAGTATTATGCGAACTATTTTGGTAAATCTAGTACTAACTAGAACAAGATTCGTTTGGATTCATAACAATTGTCATTTTCTAGCTTTACCTGTTGTGATATATTGCAAAGTTATAAATATGATATAAATTAAAAGTGAAAACATGTATCGTATCCTATGCTTTTATTTCATATAGTTGACAGCAAAGATAATGAATCTATGCACTCTTATAAATCACAATATTTAGACTAGGATAAACAAACCGCCTACTATTAAAGATATACTTAGACAAAAAACCCTTTATGCAGCATTATTTTCCTTTCACAAACATTTAGCACTATTAAAACGATTTTCGCGCAATTTAAACAAGCAAGAAAGTATATGTTATTAATATTTTATATAGAATATATCTTTAGAATATATCTATTATTCCTCCATTGCATGAATAAAGATACATAAATACCACACATATATTCAAAACTATGACAATTCAACAAACATTATACAGTAGTATGCCAGCCAATAAACTCGTCAAATATTAATAACATTGTAATTATTCTTTGAAACTACACAAATGTATTTTGATAACAAGTAAACATAGTTAACAAATACAAATATTTAGTGTCAGTAATAAGGCCAAGACTACTGACTTCTGACTAAAGTAAGATTTAATTATTTAGTACATGTAGAATATTTGTTTACATACATTTGTGCTACCTGTACCAAGATAACAAATTAACATACTGTTCAATAATTATCAAAATAATGAAGATAAGTGAGGACATGAGAGACACTACCTTTCGATGCTTAATGCAACATTTATTTGATATAACAGCTATATCGAAATTATTGATCGAAACCTAATAGACCGAAAAAAGCATCAATGTATAGTAATATATTTAACAACAGCCTGCTAAATTACGAAACAAAAACATTAAGCTGGGCAGCAAAAGGATGGGATGTCGTAGGTGTTTCTTTATATGAAAATATTTCTACAAGCACAATGTATATGAGAAAAATCTAATAAAGCAAAATTATAAATGCAAGATCGTTTTATCTGATTGTGACTATTGCATTTAAGTTTATATAAACATACATCGATACTTTTAAAGCATAATAATACAGACGCAAAAATATATCAACTTTCATGTGTGCACTCATAGCTCAATGTAAACTTTAACTTTATAAGAACAAAATTTACATAGAAGCAATTTTATTGTAAATATTAAAATATAAAGAAAAAAGTCAATTACATGAAATGAGATATTAACAAAATCTGTTTAAAGATATATATTCATTTTTCACCTTTAAACTGTTTTCTGGTTTCATGACTCTAGGTCAAATACTTTTTGAGTTATGTGCGACACAAGTTGAAACTTGCAAATATTTACTAATTCACGGGCAATTACTCTAAAAATACTACATATATCCACACAAAAATACCCAGGTGCACAACTACACATGTTGATCAACATTTCTGTAAGGTTTCATGACTTTAGGTCAAATATGTTTTGAGTTACGTGCGACACAAGTTGAAAATTGCAAATTTTTACTAATTCAAGGGCAATAACTCTAAAAATACTAAATAATTCCACACAAAAATAAATACCCAGGTGCACAATTACATATGCTGATCAACAGTCCGGTAAGGTTTCATGACTCTAGGTCAATTACTTTTTGAGCTACGTGCGACACAAAAAGAGAACGGACGGACGGAAGGACGGACGGACGTTCTTACCAGAGCTACATTATGGGGTTTTCTTTTGTTATTTCTTTTGTTCTTTTTAACCCCACAATGCAGAAAATAACCCCACAAGAGAACCGGAATGAATGACATCAAAGACATCTATTGTTATGAGAACAATAGACCAAAACCCATAATGTAGCTCTGGTTTGTACGGACAGACGGAAGGACGGACAAGAGTAAATCAAACCCCCCCCCCTATAGTGGGGGCACAAAAATTTCGGAGTTACCGTCACATTTCCTTTATCTAAAGCATTTGACATGGTTTAGAGGCTAAACTGTGTAATGCAGCCCTTCAGCCCTTCAGTGTAATGAAGTAGTTTTAAACGGAATTCAACTGAGGTCCAAAAGCCAAAGATATAAAATTTAATTTCGGCGAATGATCTGAAATTTTGGACACAAGTTATCGGTCATATCAAGTTATATAGTCCAACATCAAATGGAATATTAATCTTGAAAAATTATCACTAGTATTCAGTCAAGCCATGCCAAAACGTCAGAGGAGTCGAGTCCCTTTAAGACAGATGGATGTTTTAATTTTCAAACAAACATTAATGTTATCATAAGTAATACATTAAGAGACCGATTAACTACTTATATTGGGATAATATAACTACTTTTATGTCTTTCATTGACTAATTTGTCTTTGTAAACCATGCCCCGATTCTTGCTAATATAGATTTTGTATCTCTATTCCTCTTCTTTCCAACAGCTCCTAGGGCCGATCGAGCTTCTTTGCCAAAGTTTTCCACATCTTTAGAAATCTGAGCCTTTTTCCTGAAGTCATTAAGGATATTTATTCGCTGCATGAATCCGTCTTTCTTTTCGAGCTTTTCGTTTTCTATCATCAAATCAATGTGCTCTGTCATTGTTAATGGGTTTGGTCTAAGTGCAATTTCCTTCAAACGCTCATTGCAAATTTTTATATGAAGCATCATGTCTTCAATATCATCTAGTAAATCATTAAGTTCTTCCCCAAGCTTTTCTACAATTTGTTCTTGTGACAAAAGTTTTCCTGTTGCCTCATGATACTTTTTTTGCATGTCTGCATATGTTTTCTTCACTTTGACATTGACAAACTCAAATATATACGGTGTGTTAGCATGTTTCGACCAGTGGCAATTGTCTGGACATATCTTACATTTGCCATCGCTTCCCATTGCACAACATCTGGCCTTTTCGTCGTCGTTAGCGAATACACAATTATCATGGCAAGTGAAATGACACTCTGTACAGTTAGTGACATGCTGTCCACGGGGTAATTCTTTCTTTTTTTGTTGCGTTTCTTCTACCTCATACTCAAAATTTTGGTTATCTTTTATCAAGTTTTTATTTTGCTCAATAATCTGTATCTCCTGCTTCATACAATTTACTTTTGAAAGTCCTGCGTCAAGTTGTGGCTGCAAGTTTTTAACTGTTGCTTCTAGCTGAGAACGCTCATCAAGAACATCTTTCGTCAATTGAAGACTTTTTGTTTCTACCTGCTCCAAGTGATCAAAAAATGCGCGAAAGCTTTTCAATCCCATGTCCCAAAACATTGGGGACAAACTAGCGGAACTGATTTCTGAATTCTTGGCAAATAAACCGGAATTATTGAATGTGAAGCTCTTACCAAAAGGCAATTTTGATTCTCTCAAAGCAGCTAAAACAGGTGGGTCAATGCCATCAGCAAAGGTTACAAGAGAACATATGTTGTTTTCAATATCTCTACCAAAAAGTGACATAATCGACTGAAAAATATAGCTTTGGATAGCTGTAAGACGGGCATCTGGAGCTTTGATGAGGAAACAGACCGCATCTATGAATGTGACACCCTTTGGCTCTTTTTCAGAAAATAATTCTCTGATTTGTTGGACAATTTCCTGATCTCTTTTCAGTCCTCTTGTATCTCCAAAGCCTGGTGTATCAATGATATTCAATGGATACTTAAAACGGCTTCCTTTCTCTGGGTTAATTGTGTAACAAGTTATCCATTCTGTTTGACTGAGAGCCTACAAGAAAATAGCATAATTGATTTAATATAGTTTTTAAGTGTAAAGATCTTATTACGTTAAAAATAAGACTCTAAATTATTGCAGCTGGTGAAAATGGAGTCATTTATAGACATTACTTACTTGGTTTTTCTCTCTGTCCATTTCCTCTTTCTCTAAATCAATTACAGTAAATCTGAAAGGATCTTCCCAATTCACACCTAAAACATAATTTACCATTCCATCTACTAATGTGCTTTTCCCTGTACCAGTTGCGCCTACCAACATAATCGTCTTTGAATTTCCACCGAGTACTGGTGGTGCACCTATACAATATTACATGCATTTTTAATTAAAAAGACAATAGCAAGACAAAAAACATAATAGCTAAACCGACGAAAAAAATGTTTTCCTCAGTAAGCAACTTGTATCTTTTTTTATAAATAGAAGACATTACACAACATAATAATGTCTGTCCTTTACACAAAGAATTACAAAACAATTATTGTAGTGCAAATTTTCATTGTGCAATATATATTATAATTAAAAAATAAATAAAAATTCACCTAGTTCAAATTTCTTTGTCTTCGCTCTGTCATTTCTTGCTGACCTCAATTCAGTTATTGGCAATGCATACTTTGAAGGCGACGGATTTCCTTTCTCCTTCAGAACCGAAAATTTCAATATTCTTGAAGCTGGTGAATCTGTCGTAAATATTTTATCACTTTCATCGCTGTAAGGGCCCTCACAATCCTCATATACTACCCGAACTCGGAAACTAAACGCTGTATTCGACTTTAGATCGCTGAGGACGGCAGTTGAAGACTTATACTCGCCTTGAAAAATTTTCCATTTTTTCTCATGATCAAGATCTTTATAACTGACTTGATAATAGTCATCATCCCCGAATGTTGAAGGTGGATCCCACGATAGCGTTATTGTATCTGCACGTGCATCTGACGATCTTGGTTTTCCTGGACAATCCTGTGAATTTTTTTATCAAATTATATATAATATAATACATTTATCTAGAAAAAGTATATGCAATGTTGTAACTGATTTACTATTTAAATATCAATAACATTTATACATGCAGATGTGATTATCATAAAAGTAAACAATATTTTTTGTGCATTTTGCTATTTGTTATGTTTCCTACCTTTTTTCTTAATTCAATTCCCTGTTCAATCCTGTTATTTGACTTTCCTCCATCTTGCCTGTAAAAATAATATAATTATATTCAATAAAGTATTAATGAGGTGCAAAATGTATTTTATTTTGATTCCAGGGTCTTTACTTTATTTTTGTCAATAACTTTATTTTTGTCAATACCTTTTAGATTTGCAGGATAAACTATAAATTTGAATAAAAGGATAGGATAACGTTTCGCACATCCACTGTCATATTTCGTTTATATTTAACTTTAAAAGCTACAACGATCAATTACTACAAACAACTGGACACATACCTATACTGCATAGTTTCATCTATGATGTGTTGTTGGGCTCTCCGTTTAATAAGACCATCTTTGGCTGCGATTGTTTTATGGTCTCTTGCTGTCTTTGAACGCTGATGCTGCTTATTGCAAATTGTGCAAAATAATTCGTCACATTGCTCACAGTAGTATTCCGCTGATCCAGGTGATTTGCAGGAGTCGCAGTTCATTTCTTCAATATCGTCAGATTCCTTCAGCTCATGGGAACTAGTAAATTTACTACGCCCATGTATCTCGCAGCATTGCTCGCACAAACCATGTTCACACACAGTACAATATTTCATTAGGATTTTGCTTTCGCTGCAACCCTTGCATAAGGCAACTTCTTTCATTTGGGCATTTTTATTTTTACTGCCTGAAACAGGATTGACGAGTGTATGATCCTTTGTCATCTTTTGTTTTGAATGGACACGTACACAATCACCACAATAGTTTTCTGCACAATTTGTGCAATACTTTACTGCTCTTATAAAACCTTCACTACAGGAGTCACATTTTACTATCCGTTCTAGCTTCCTGCTTGGTATTGAGTCAATGGGATGAGTTTTTGTCGCAATTTGATTTTTATGTATCTGCCCACAATCGTCACAGAGCGCTTCGTCACATGAGTTGCAATACATGACAGCTTCTTTATCCTCTAGCTCGCATACTTCACATACGATGATGATATATTCCACACATTCATGGCTTTCAAGTGCATATGATCTAGTGATTTTTTTTGAGCGATGATGATTCGTACATTCTCCACAGAGCAACTCCTCGCATTCATCACAAAATGATGTTGCATCTTTCTTCATATCTTTAAACTGACATAGATCACATATCTTTCTATTTTGAAAATCGCGTTTCTTCTCCTCCTTTTGAAGCACTGAACTTGGGACTGGATCATGTGTCTTTGTGGCATTTCTGTTCTTGTGGCTGTTTGTGCAGGATCCGCATAAGTATTCGTCACATTCTTTGCAATAATTAAGGGAACGTATTTCTTTAAAATTATATTTGCATGGATCACATAATGTAATTGTTTCATCTTTGTTTAAAAGCTTGTCATTCATATCTCTGATTGTTATTGGTTTGTGTGTCCTCGTTGCTTTTCTCTTCCCATGAGAAAGTGTGCAGTCATTGCAAAGGTATTCCTCGCATTCTTCACAGTAAGTGATTGCCTGTACCATATTTCCCTCATCTGTACAAGGACTGCATGAAATAACATTTTTCTTTTCGCCAATTTTTATCGGTTTGTGTGAAGCTGTTGCCTTTCTTTTTGCATGGTTAGTTACACAATCTTCGCACAACAGTTCTTCGCATTCATCGCAATACTTGCTTGCACAAACTAGTTTACGTGATAGCTTGCATGGCTGGCATTGATCTGTTTCGTTCAATCCATGAAGTGGAGGCTCTGTTGTAGATTCTTCTTGAACGCATGATGAAACTTCCATCTCGTTTTTTCAGCAATATCTTTACTGTAAAGGAAATTATTATTTACATAGTATCATCATATTATCCTGCTTCAAATGGTACACGTGCTTTTCATCTATTGCACAACATCGGTATTTGTACAAAAAATTCGTGATTTTCTAGCAAATAAAAATATTAAGGGAGGTTTTTATAACGTTACATTTTGAAATGTGAAATGAATATTTATTACACAATTGTTAGAAATTAGCACTGCAAACACATTGCTGCTTTTTACATATTTTATTACAGTATTTTCAAAGCAATGATTAATATCTGCATTCAAATTCTGTGAACGATTTTGTCTTAAATTATTCTTAAAGATAATGAAACATATTATTTAAGGTCACTTTCCTATTGATAGTTCCCATTTTTTTTTAAAAATCATTTAAACTGAAAGTTACTTAGTTATTTATAAAACTTACAGATTCTTTTTATGCATTAACAAATTATCAGTTGCGCACTGCGTAATAAGACATGATGTAACAATTACTCTTAAGCATGTGTCTCCTTAGAAAAAATATGAACACTGGAAACAATTTTACAACGAATGAGGTAATTGAATGGTATAAACATGAAATAATATATCAAGGGTTTTTTCTATGCTAAATGAGCCATTAGACGAAGCACTTACTGAAACAACGTTTTTACGATCTCGACTAGGACATGCAATATTTTCCTTTTCAGAAGACGGTAAATTAATTAGTGAAAAGACAGATCAACTGTGTTATATTCTGGTCATTGTGAGCGCATCAATGGCAGTCGCAATTTCTTTTATCAATGTTCGGATAAAAATGATTATTGGTAATCGGCAAGATGCTACGACTGCATCATTGATTAAAATTATTTCTACCTGGTGATCGTTTATATGTTTTTAAAGGTGGAAAGTGCATTTACATATAAACGTTAAGGCTATTTGAAATCTAATAGAGCTGATGTTAAGTTTTTAAAATCTAAAAATATGATGACAGAAATATTTAAAGTGAGAGAACATTGACATGATTGCTGTCATGAGCTTGCGCTCGAGGTATCTGCCATTGAATTAATTAATACTCGTTGATTCAGTCGTAAGAAAAATGCAGAATGTTAATAAGATGAATAAATTAATGTCAATTTTCTGTCGATATCCGTAGCGGTGAAAATGAATGTGTATTATGTTAGAAATTAACACTGCCAACAAATCACGACTTATTTCTATATTTTCAAAACAAAAAGACATCCGCAGTCTACTTCTGTGAAAGATATGTTTATCTAATATCATTTTAAAATTAATATAGCAGAAAATTGTGTTCAAACTGTGTAAGCAACTCAAAGATTAAAGAAACTTACAGATCTGACAGCTCCTTTAATCCTGTTAACAAATTATTATTTGCGCACCGCGTTATGTAACCCGCGTGTTTTATGTAGACGCGTGACCTTGACACGTAGTATAACTTTCTGAAACTGAAATCAGATTTCTATGACCTCCACTAGGGCGGTTTTTTCTCATTTTCGGAAAACTTTACAGATCAACCGATTTATATTTCGGTCATCTAGACATGTTAGAGCGCATCAATGGCAGTCATGTTTAACACATGTTTTTGTTATTTTAAAGGATTATGCTGAATTTACATCAAAATATATAGGTTTTTTGAAAAATGTATAAGAATTGATTCAATCTATTAAAATTCAATCTAGCAAAAATAAGTCATTGGTAACTATACCTGAAATAACCAACTGTTTCTAATTGAAAAGAGTATAACTTGAAAAAAAGCTCGGTGGCCCGAAATGAATTTTCACTTGAAATGCTCATGTTATCATACTCTAGAAACGTGAAGTTTAGTAATATCTTTCATTCAGCTTTCATCATGTCTATATGTCTAAATTCAGTGCAGCATACGCATTTAAGTACAGCAATAATAATAATAATAATAATGATAATAATCGGCCGAGGTTAACACGTTTATAAACAAGTTACACAGATTGTTTATTCCTTGGTTGTCGGTTTCTGGTAAGCAATGTTAAGTATTCAAGGTGAACAAGTTTCCAGACAAGTGATAAAGAATTTTTCATTTCTTACTTGCTTGTTTCGGTTTCGCAAAGTTATATTCGGTCGCGGGTGAAACAGTTAACAGACAATTGGCACATTTATTTCTTCGTTATCAAAGGTTTCGGTTTGTCAATGTATTTTACGCAACTACTATGCAGATATAATTTACGACCTCATTTGTTTATCAATCAAATTGATAATATGATTCTGTTAAATTTTGTTATATTAATTTTTCAAAATTTGATTGTGTTATTCTTAGCTGAAATTAAGAAATTACGCCCAAACCATTAAACTGTGCTATTATAATAATGTTACTATTTCTTTTTTATTGTAGTGCAATTATTAAAATGGTAAGTCTATCATGGATGCCGAACCTAATAATGTATGTGTGGCTTCTTAAGGCGACATATTTTTATGCGGTGGCCATTACATGCGGATTGGTTGTTTTTATTGCGGACTATTTCGAAAAGTAAGCAAACCTTGTTCTTAGAAGTTCATCGAAACTCAATGTACACATACTTATGGAAAAATACTCTGGCAAAACTTCTCATTACAAAGACATTTAAATGCACATGATATGTATTTTCAATTGTTCTTAACAAGCAAAGTTTGTTTCAGTTAAAACACATTGTGTGCCATATTTAGCTCGACTTTTGTTTTGAATTTCTTGGTGTATTGTCTTCAGACTTGGCAACAAATTTCCTTAGGACAAGACCTTCATGTAGACCAGACTAAACTTGACCTTTGCTCGCACATGACTTTAAACTTCAAGGTTTTATGTCTAAAATTTGCTTGTTTTTTCCTGAATTTTGCTACTAGTGGCTAAAACTTTGTTTATTTATAGATGAATTGTCTTCAAATTTGTAAATAACAATCTTCTATGATAGAGTTCAGGCTAATTAGGCCTTCACTCAAAAATGACATTGATCTTTAAGGTCAAAATATAAAAGTTTTCAATATTTTGCTCAAACTGGCTATAACTCTGTTGTTTATGAATCGATTGGCTTCATATTGAGACAAATCATTCTTTAGGATACGACCTTTATGTACTAGTAGGTCAAACTCATTTGACATTGCTTATAAATGACCTAGAACTTGAAGGTAAAATTATTAAATTTTCACTGACTTTTGCTATAATTGACTGTAACTTTGTCATTAATCAATGGATTATCTTCATACTAGAACAAAAGAACCCTTTGCAAGACTTTTTGAAAGGTTGAACTGACCTTGACCCTGATCTATCAATAGACCTTTTTTGCTGTAACTGGCTATATATGTGTTATTTATTAATTGATTTATTTCATATTAAGACACAGCATCCTTTAGGTCAGGCCTTTATGCATATCAAACTCAAATTGACCTTGACTCATGTATGACATTGATCTTAAAGGTCATATTATTGAATTTTCATTCATTATTGCTATTATTGGCTGAAACATACTTATAAATCAATAGATTATTTTCATACTTGGACAAAACAACATACACAAGACCTTCTAAAAGATTTAACTGACCTTTTTCTTGAGCTTTAAATGATATTGACCATCAATGTCAAATTATTTAATTTTTGTTTAGTTGTCATAGTTTTGTTACTCGTGTATTACATGTATTATTATTATTATTTTTATTATTGTTGTTGTTGTTGTTGTTGTTGTTCATTCCTTGGCTCCTGGTTTCGGTTCAGCATTGTTGATGATTAAATCAAAATAAACAAGTTTGCAGACGACACATAATTTTTCATTTCTTTCTCATATCTTATCATTAATGGTTTCAGATTTGCAACAGTATTCACGCAACTATCATGTAGCTCAAACGGGGGAAAATCTATTATAATTTACGACCTCACCGAGTTTAATCGTTGCTCAATACACTGTGTTTGTTGCAGTGGCGGCGTGGCCGAGTGGTTAACGCGTCGGACTAGTAATCTAAGAATTGCTGACGCGTGGGTTCAAACCCTGTCAGGGGCAAGCCGTTGTTTCCTTGAGCAAGAAACTTTACATTCATTGCTTAGTACTGGTTGGTTCTAGGAACGGATTCGAAAGTGTTTGAATAAGCTTATAGCATCCAACACAATCGAACTAAATAAAAATTGTATAAACTAACTAATGCACTCTGAATTTTGGTTTTCTTTCTCTTTGTTTGGTAAAATATTTTGTTTTTCCTCGTATTCTATATCATTTTTAATAAAGAACTACAATTTCGTTTAAAACGGACATCCAAAAAATGATAAAGAATGAACTTAATTATTATTGGCCGCAATATGTGATATCACAGAATGCTAGATTCTTTTATGCTATTATTAGCATAGAATGTGTTTACAATTGTACAATCTGTAGAAAAATAAAGGTACTATAATGGCATTTGTACAATTCATAATCAGTTAATTATGTAGCAAATATGTCAAAAATATAGACATATATTTGCATGAAGCGAAATTATATCAACATTTTATTGGTTTGTTGGAAATATGACAATGTTTTAGCTGTGTTGAATATTTTAAAATAGTGTAATCAAGGATAAACGATTTTTCAGCTTGATGGTATTTTCAAAAGGCGATGAAATGTATAAACAACTTTTCTTATATATAGTGAAAAACACCTGTAAAAATACGCAATATTATTTTCCTTGTGACAATTGGACTTTGTGGTTCTAAAACATTCAAGCGTGTACGTACTTCAAATGTTTATAATATTTTGAAACGAAACGCGCTACTATAATAGAACATAATTCATTGATCATACATCTCTACCCACATTCATACAGAGGACCAAACATAATTCATGTGGTGGCTATAAAAAATTGCGGATTTGTTTTGTTTTTATTGCGGAAAAATCCGAAAAATAAGCATTCTTTTTTCTAAGAAGTTCATCGAAATTCAATAAATACATACATACAAATGGAAAAAAAACTCGTAAAATTCTTGCAAAACTTTCTTCACACAGACATTTAAATGCACATTTATGATATGTTTTTTACAATTGTTTTTAATAAGGGAAATTGTTTGCCATTTAATTACGTGTTTAGCTTATTCGTTTTGGGGTATGTGGAAATTTTGTCCTTTTTAACTTGGAACAAGTCATACTTAATTTCACAAACATCATCTATATGATTTTATTTTCATGGATAAATATTTACGTATTGCGAGACATTCCACAAGTTACAAAGAGAAAAACAGTGACCAATTGCATTCATCTTCTTTTTCAATTGGTATCGGCTTGTGCGAACCAGTTGCCTTTCCTTTGCATTGACAGTCACACAATTTTCACAGTTCTTCACATTCATCGCAATCAATTTTTCAAAAACTTACCTATCTATAGCTTGCATGGGTTAAACTTACTAGTATTTGTTTCGTTCAATTCAGAAAGAGAATATGAGAAATATATATGGTTCAGTTTTTATGAACACATCAAGGTCCATGTTTTCAGTCATATTTGTACTATAATTGAAATTTATTTTGCTTTATGTTATCAATTTACGTCCCTCAGAAAGATGTTTGTATTTTTACAAATGTCACACAACACTCGTTAGGATACACATGAATTCTTATATTCATTGTTACTGATTAGCATAAATATCAATCATTTTTGCTGATGGGTATCATAACGCTAAATGATGGAAAAGTTGGCACAAAAAACAAACAAGCATATAGAGTGATGCAAACGAAACGTACATGTAATGAAAATTTAAATGATACCCCCGTGTGCTGCTTTTGCAGCTTAACAATTAAAATAAAACATTTAAATGTTTATTTTTTTTATGATAAATTTTGTTTTCATTGAAATTATATGAGCAAACTCGATTCATGCGCTTCATTTATAACTTCGATTATATTCATTTAAAATGTATAAAATGTATTGTTTTGATTCGTCGATATTTATCAAGTACAGCATGAAATTATAAAAAAGTATAGTGATAGTACATGTACTATTATCTGAATGACCGATGGTCAGTTATAACCATAACACTGTTAAATATATATATATATGTTTTATTCTAAGTACTAGAGCATTCTCAGAGAGACAAATCTACACTGCGTTAAACCCATGTGACTAGAGAGTATATCATATTACACAACAAAAAGACATTTAAGTATAGGTTAAAGTCTATAAGTACGTATTTACAAAATTAAATTGGTCAGGCGCGGCCGCACGATCAATTTATTTTTTTAAATACCTACTAATAAATTTTAACCAGCTTAGTGTTTTAAATTATTTTTATAAACAGTCGATTTACTAGACTGATTCACAGTAACCGATTTACAAAAGTAAATGTGTTACGATTCATTTGAAATACTGGAATCCTATTGGACAAACAATAATTTCAAAAACTAATAAATGTACAGATGTTTTTCGACATCCATATTCATATTTTACTTGTATTTGTTAACCAGCACAATTACATGGGCGACAAAACCGATTTTAGTGTAAATGAA